TAACGGATTTTACCATATCACTGACAGAGGTGTACTTGAAGATTGATATTGAAATGCTTTTTGACAATAAATGTACATCATCCCTCTTCAATTTTTCTTTCTTGGCGTAATTAACCTTACAATTTTCTGATTCAAAATTTCTGGTACCAGTACATTTCAAATCATTATTGTATTAGTTGCTGTTGTTGTTGTTAAGTGTTGTCAAGTCAGTAATGACATGTTTTGAACCTGTATAGGGTTTCCTAGGAGCAGATGGTGAGCTTGTACCACTGACCTTGCAACTTTGCATTCCAGGACATTAACCCAGAGTAACACACAAGGAAATTCCTTTTAATTTTTAATAATTCACAGTTTTCCAAGCTACATACTTTGTACATTCCATGCTTTGATTATTAATAGATGACTGCATGTTTCTTCCCATTTTGAGTTGTACTCTATCAGCAAAAAGGTCCTTAAAGTTTTGCTCTACCTATGTTGTTAAGATGAACTCTACATTTAGGAGGCAATCCTTTCCAGAACTTTGAGCACCTTCCAACATAATGGTCTCATTTATTATACAATATTATACTGCTATTAATTAGATTTCAGTGTCTAACCATTCATATTTTTTCCTTATCTCCTTTTTCCTATTTGCTTTTAAAAAAAATTTTGCTGTTGTTGTTACGTGCAGTGGAGTTGGTTCTGACTCATAGCAATCCTGTACAGGGTTTCCAAGGCTGTAAATTTTTATGGGAGCAGAAAGCCTCATCTTTCTCCCACAGAAGAGCTGGTAGTTTTGAACTGCTGACCTTAAGGTTCACAACTCTATGCTACTCTGGAAGGACCTTTGTTTTACTCTGGAAGGACCTTTGTTTTACTCTGGAAGGACCAAATTAAATTTATTCACCATGGATGAATCTACTGGTATTTAAAATTCCAGTGGCATGGTTTCTAGCATCACAGAAACACAGATGCCACCATAGTAGGACAATCTGACAAAACAATGGTGGTTTTTATATCTACTCAACAAATGCTGAGGATACCCTGAGTATTTTCCTAGGTTATATCACTCCTAGTCATTACTAGGAAACCCTATACAAGGTTTCAATTAATCAGAACAGATTTGACAGCACTTAACAAGAACAACAACATTCCTATTTTTGAGGGAGTAGGAAAGAATCTCAACTCTTAAGCTTTTATTTGTAGACTTTTCTCATAGATTCTTAGTCTCTCATTCAGGCTTTTTCTCTCCAGGTGAAAGCTATTAATGAGTTAATTCAAATAATTTTCAAATTGGCTTCTTTCCTAATTTCTTTTTATGAGTGAGGTTCTTAACATTCTGAGGGTCATCTTACATTATTGGTTACATATCTTAGTATGATGCTGTTGAATAATCACTCAACAACAAGGTCTGTTTGAATGACAAGGATATTGATTCAAACTCATCAACAACTTCTTGAAAACTCTATGCAGGGTCACAATGAGATGGAACTGATGTGATGGCACTTAACAACAACAACAGCATCATGGTGAGGATCCAACGCAAGCCTCGTTGGGAATGAAAATCACATTCACATTGCTATCTCTTTTGTTTTTACTTGTTTGCCTTAAAAAAACAATCATAATGTGATAACTATTTACTTTCATTTTCTTTACTTGCTAGTTAGTTGCTATTTCTAAAACTCTGGTAGTTAATTTTAAACTGTATATGATTTTCTCTTGTGGTATAACTTTTCTCCCATATCTTAAGAAAATGGTTTTTATCAGTCCCTGCAAATTCACTGTAATATAAAAAATTCTATTCATAGTCATACATTTAATTGAGAATCTATGCATCTCAATGGCCAAAGAAACACTCTAAATACTTTATTTTTGTTAAGTTTAACAACAGAAAACTTTGTAATTTCATTGCTAAAACTCATTATTACAGATGTAACTAATCTCAAGAGAATAGTCAAAGAATGCTTCTGAAATCAGAAGTTAGGAAGAGTTTTCCTCTGTGGAAGTGTAAATCACCAATTCCCAAGGGTTTATCAGAAGTAGGACCAATATATATCCTTCCTCAGGAAAAACAAAACAAAACAAAAACAAAACTGTTTATTAAGAATGCAGAAGTGTTGATATGACTAAAAATCTAAGTTCTGGATCTTCCTGAGAAATGACTACAATTTTATTTATTGGAAAGATAGGCTCACGGAGTTTTCAAGTCTCTCTAAGTTGTGCAAAATAAATATTCATTTATTTTGAATGAAAGAGTGCTACATCATTTCTCAGGTATAATTGCATGTTTTAATTCAAATGATTCTTTTAAATTACTAATGAATAGTTAACTGAAAAAGAAGATATTTGTCAAGAATATTAGTATACATCACAGCTGTCCCAGATGATATGTTTATACTAATAAAATTGATTGTTTTTCATTCTAGTGTTTATTTATTTTTATTAGGTTTTTTAATTGTATCTTAAGTTCTGTGGCTAAAACATAGACTGGGTAAAAAAGATTGAAAATATAATGATACAAAAGTTAACTTGCTATTGAACTAATATGGATCTCATGCATAAATTATTTCTGTAGTGATATTTTAAAAGGTAACTAAGAATTATCCAGGCAAATGGGAATCTTATTGACATTTTAGTAGCAGAAGAATTTAATCTAAATTGTCCTTAAACTACTAAGAGAAATGTTGAAAGGTCTAGTATAAAATTTTGCTATGAGTAATTGCAGCATTGGGTATCTTAAGAATTAGCACAGATAAGGAGAAAGATGCAGTTAGTAATGGTGGAGGATGAAGAACAAGACTTTATGGATCAATATGTTCTAACAGAGCAAACTTTAAAAGTTATAAATCTGTTTTGCACCAGAAAACAAGGACAAGCATCAGGAGTAATATTGTACTCATGTAATTGCATACTGGTTTTGGTAGTTAATACATTATCTGCTTAAAGAATTTTCCTTCAGCAAAAAAAAAAAAGAGGGAGAAAAAAGAACAATAAAAGAAGCCTGAAAACATCTAAAGTTTTGTTATATAACATTGGTTAGCTTTCAACATTTTGCAAAAGGAGTACTGATATGGTGTTATAGTATTAACATTGGATTGCTAATTACAAAGTTGACGATTCAAACCCTCCGTCCTCTCCTTGGAAACCCTATTCTGGGTTCACTGTGATTCAGAACCAACTCGCTAATACTTAATAACAAAAACAGCAATTTCGTAAAAGCACTGAAATGCCATATTAATAAAATAAGTGTAAGCAAATCAATATTAATACTGCCATAATTATAAATAATATAACATGGAAGAAAAATTCTAAAGTATTCTGTAATAAGAAATGGACTATATTTAAATAAAATATCTTAAACGTAAAAGTTTTAATATGTTTAAAGTTATAGAATGTCAGCTCCAGGTGTTCCACAGATGAAAATTAAATAATATTGAAATTAGAGAGTCCAAAAATAGTTGATTTTAGTAATGAAAGCTCAATTATTATTTCAGAATTTGAAATTGTTCAAGACATGCATGAATAAATAAATTGATGGTAGATTAGTTATTAGTGAATGGGAATTCTTCAGCCAAAGCTACAGAAATCTGTAGGGATGGAATCTATTCAGAATATTAGTTATTCATTCAATATTGGAATGCATGCCTGACAGAAGGAAGATGCTTTGTAAAGGAGTATTCTCAAGTAAGGTTTTCCCCCCCCTTATGTTCTATGTGCAGGTGAGGAGATAATGTAGAGTGGTAGTAAAGGAACTCAGGATACACACTACTAGTAGGAAAATGATACTGATAAAATTCTGAGTCCGAACAAACATTTTATAGATGATGCATCAAGTGAAGAAAGCAACTGAACATGCATATGTAGTCCAGTGTAACTGAAATGAAAGAGTAATGAACCATAGCCTAAGAGGTTACCCGTAGTTTAAAACAATTCTTAGGAGAAATTGAGAACCATAAAATAGCTTTTTCATTGAAACAATTTCCAGGCCTGCTGTCCCCAGAAGGAGGACTTCAGATGCTATCCTAAATCCATGACACATGAAGAGAATCAATAATAGCTGTGGAGTGGTCAAACTCAACTTAAAACTCATAACAATCATAATTCTCACAGAGCATTGTAACATAATCATTTGATATTGAAGGAAGTAAGAAAATAAATATAGACTGTGTCTAGACAGAATGTACATTTACTTTACTAAAATACTGTAAATGTGACTCAATACTCAAAATGTTGTTGGCTTTTCATTTAATTTTAAGTTTTTTTTCATGGCTTAAATCATCTGATACTATTCATATTAAAGGAAACTGGTATGGTGTTGAAGTTAAATATAAATGCATTTGGGTAAAAAATCCAATGAAAAAATATACACATTGTTTACATCTATCCTGACCTCTTGGTTAGAGGCTATAAGTGTTGTTATTGTTACGTGCCGCTGAGTCGGATCTTACCCATAGTGACCCTATACAGGTTTCTGAAAAGTGACTGGTGAGCTTGAACCACCGACCTTGCAGTTCAAACAGTTTTGCAGTCTGGTGCATTAACTCACAACGCCACACCAGGACTCCAGAGGCTATGATAGCTGCTCTTTATTTGTAGGTATTGTGTATATCTGAATTCTAGTCTCATTGTATCACTTTATCCTATGATTCTAGGGAGATTGCAGCACATTAGCCAGCCTGGGCAACTTCACTATCATCACAGAATTCCTCCTCATGGATATTTCAAACTCCCGGGAACTCCAAGTCCTACAAGGTCTGCTGTTCTTAATGATTTATCTGGGAGCCCTGGCTGGAAATCTTCTGACTATTTTAGTAATTGTGACAGATCCCCATCTTCACTTTCCTATGTATTTCTTTATAGGCAATTTATCCTTCATAGATTTCTGCTATATTTCAGTTAGTGTTCCCAAATCTATTGTGAATTCCTTTGCAGGTAGACAATCAATCTCACTCAAAGAATGTGCTGCTCAGATTTTTCTGTATATTTTATTTGCATCTACAGAACTTTCTTTTCTTGTGGTGATGTCTTATGACCGTTACATTGCCATACATTATCCCCTGCACTATGGACTCACTGTCACCCCATATGCTTGTGCACAGGCAGCAGGGGGTTCGTGGGCCAGTGGATTACTCTATTCTGCCATCCATACCTTCACCATGTTCAGGCTTCCCTTCACAAAGTCCAATGTGATCCATCAATATTTCTGTGATGTACCACAAATTTTGAGTATATCATCTACAGAAATTCAGTTTTCTGAATCTGTGCTCCTACTTATAAGTGCTGGCATTGACTTAGTGTGTTTTGCTTTCATGGTTATATCATATATTAAAATATTTTCAAGTGTGCTTCAAATTCGTTCTGCAGAAGCCCGTAGCAAAGCCTTATCTACTTGTACCCCACAGTTGGCTATTCTTCTTTTGTTTGTAATTTCTGGATTAATTGCTGTCCTAGGTCCTATTGCAGATAAAACTTCTATTAAAAATCTGTTGACGGCTATGTGCTATACCATGCTGCCACCGTTTATAAACCCCCTCATCTATAGTCTGAAGAACAGGGAAATTAACAGTGCTCTAGGGAGAATGTACAAAAGATATTTTGAGTTCCCAAGCAGGAGTTTACTTGATTAGAATATTTAAAAGCAAGACAATTTGAAATAAATTTACTTTGTATTTGCTGCATGTATTATGGGAAATAAGAGACTTTCTGTCCCTGTAAAGATTTGCAACCTTGGAAATCCCGTAAATGTTCACTGTGGGTCAGAACTGACTAGATGACACGCAAAAGTCAACCACCTTAAGTTTTTATAATTAAATATCTACCTGTGAAATATCTAATATTTATTTGTGTATTTTAATTTTTGTTGATCACAAACGTGAGCATTAGCTGTACACTTCTGTGTCTTAGTTGGTTTTGTTTTTTTGTTTTTCTGTTAAAAAAAACACACACAAAATAGGCTCGTAAATACTTTCTATGTATTATTCAATTTAGCATTCAATTGTGCATGTATATCATGGATCTCATGTAAAACAAAAATAATATTTCTTACAAATATCCAAACTTGGCGAATATTCCACCTTTGCTTAATTTTTATAGCTAAATTTTTAATATTTTAATAATTGAGGATTCTATCCAGTTTCTTTTAACATTGAGTTATATACATAGCTATCACTAGAGGAAAAGCTATCATACTCAATTCTACATTCAAATAATAAACTTATAAAGATTAGGAATTACTTTTCTGAATCTTGGCATTTGTGCATTTGCCTTAGTGTACTCTTGATTTATATTTAAACTAGCATTTATATATAGATTTTCTCTTTAGTGTTACTCTATTCCAGATACTTGACTATCTAAAGCCATTGATTTCAAGTCACTAGGCTTCTGGTAGTGATGTGGTTATGAATCCGGCTGCTAACTTCAAGGTCAACAGTTTAAAACTACCAGCTGTTCCTCAAGAGAAAGATGAGACTATCTGCTCCTGTAAATATTTACAGCTTCAGAAACCCTGTACAGGGTCTCTATGGGTTGGAACCAACTCCAAGGCATATAACCTCCACAACCACAAGCAGAATTCCTGAAAACATCTAACACCTTTCAGATTCTATTTCATTTTAATTAGTAACTGTGTTGCAGAAATTCAACATTGTTATTTCTCAGTATTTTTAATTAATGTCCCTGCATGAAGTGAGCTATTTAAATCATGAAATGTTGGTATTTCCTCTGTATAATTATTTTTTCCTAATTTTTGTCTTCAATTTTATTTTTCTCTAATAATTAGTTATGATATAGTTCTTTCTATATCTGTTTGCTTTCTAGTTCTATTTTATAGGAAATGCTCATCAAGATAGTTCCATGCATGCTTAATGATCTTTTTATGTTTGAAATTATGTCTATAACGTATTTATAACTTTACATAGTACTAGAGTTCTCTTTGGAGTCCTGGTAGGGTGCTTTATGATAAGGACTGGGCTGCTAATAAGATCAAACCAAACCCACCAGACATGGTTGTTATGAATTAGAAATGACTTAATAGAAATTAATAGCAACAGCAATAGTTCCTGTTGGTTTGTGATTTGCATTTAATTTCTCACAGAAAATAGGAATATAAACCATTTTTATCTTTATGCATACTATGCCTTATTGTTGTTAAGTGCATTCAAGTCAGTTCCAATTAAAGGTGACCCTGTATATAGTTTATAAGGAGGAAATGGTGCATTTGAACCACTGACCTTGTAGCTCAAATTTACCTTGTGGTCCAGTACTTATCCTACAGCACCAAACTCCAATGCAAACTGGAGGATTTTAAGTGTTCCAAAATTTCCTTAATTGTTCTCAAATATTGGTGTCATTTAAAAATATTTATCTTTTCTGTTTCTCATTTAAATTCTTTTTTCTTCTAATGTTGAACACTGCTAAGATGTATGGTCTCAATTCTGGATGCCTTTGGAAGCTGATTAGAAATTATGTTCTTAGAAACTATTGCTTAAAGAGCTTTTCTTTAGTAATGTATAGATGTGGGACAGTATATGATATGAGTTTGAGAATCCTCTCAATGTCACACTATAGAACTCTTTGCTAACAATTTTCAAATTACATAAAGCTGCTCTTTATCCCATTGACAAAATGCTTGGTTTCTGCTTCAGTAGAGAAGTATCCCAGATATATATTTTTTATCTGTGCATAATAGCATATTAGGAGATCTCAGTGTTAGCAAGATGAGGCTAAGGGAGATTTCATAGTAAAATCTCAATCAATGCATCATTATGTGACATTTCTAAGTTGTATAGATTCCATTTTTTCTTTTTAAGATTATGAAAGCATCTATATCTCCTATGAAGGTATCTATATCTTCTTCCAAGGAACTCTGGTGCTATAGTGGTTACAGTCGGGCTGCTAATCTCATGGTCAGCAATTCAATACTACCGGCAATTCTGCAGAAAAAATGAGGATTTCTGCTCTCATAAAGATTTATAGCCTCAGAAACCCTATACAAGGTTGCAATGAGTCAAAAATGACTCCACATAATCACCACCACCACCACATGTTTTTGTGTTTTCATATTTACCTAAGACCTCCCACTAATCAGATACATAATTTCATGTACCTTCCAAAATTCCTTAAGATCAGTTTATGAGTATCTTTCCATTGTTTCATCCCTGGGTTCATCTTTTTTTTCCCTTACAATTCTTTTGATGATATTTTAGATGAGACAAATGAATTTATGTTGAACTGAAATGAGTTGAAAGTTATAAACAGATATTTGACATGAAAACAGTTCTATTTCAAGTTTAATAAATAAATTAATCTTGAGCAGATGAACAAATGGATAAAATATGATTTGATTTAAGTCATCTGATCCAGAGAATCTCAGTTGCTAATGATGAATTCTATAACAGAATTTAAAATATAACTTTTCTAAAAATAATATTTTAATTGTAAAGTAATGATAATTATGCAGAAGGTGAAACAAAGCACATAGATATTGATGAAATTGTGTGATGATTTATCATAAGTGACATTGGGCTTTTACTCTCACTTACATGCAATGGAGCTCTGGTAGCGTAGTGGTTACGAATCGGGCTGCGAACCTTAGGGCCAGCAGTTCGAAACTACCAGCTGTTCCGCGGGAGAAAGATCAGGCGTTCTCCTCCCGTAAAGATTTACAGCCTCGGAAACCCTGTACAAGGTCGCTATGGGTCGGAAACGACTCGACGGCACTTAACAACAACAACAACAACAACATGCATTAGTGTCAACTTTGTATTAAATAGTTTTCTCCTCCTTCTTGTCCATCACTTGCAGGACTACATTCATGTGATAAGTCATGGTTTTCTTTCTTGAATCAATGAGACTAAAGTAAGTGTATTCCCATCCTGAGATAGATTAACTACATAAAACAGAAGTGACATAGAGAACTTTACAATTTTAAATCAGTAGAAAGAAACTCTTAGAGTAAATCATTGATGTTACAAAGAGAGGTAATATGTAGAAAGTAATATTCCTATATGGTAACAATTTCAAAGTTATAAATATTATAATACTCTGTTTCAAGTAAGCCAAGGAAATAGTTAGTGGAAACTTTAATCAACTGATGACAGTAGTTTATTTTTTTTAAAATTCCTCACCTCCTGTTTGAAATCCCCTTTAACGATTTCAATTCTTCCATACAACTTGGTATACTTGATGTATCTTTCCCTACACAAAAGATAATGCTTAATAAGAGAAACATTTTTTAAAAAATCTTGGACAGATAAACATGTACTTTCCAATATATAAAATGTGTTTGTCAAAAAGACCATAATTTTAACTTCAAAGCTAATACCGTGAATAACGATTATAAAGATACTAATCCATATACAGACAAAATAAATAACATCTGTATTATTGGAGCATCCTTATTTTTAAAAACCAACTTTGTTAAGAATGTGAATTTTAATGGATCTGATACATGAGGAAATTTTATCAATTATATAACTGGTGCTGTATGATAAAAACTGGACTTCTAAAAGTTTGTTGTTGTTAGGTGCCATCGAGTTACCAGGTACCCCTTGCAAATCCTGTAAGGGGTCTCAGAGCAGGATCCAACTTGTGGTCACTTAAAAACAACAAAAACTTGTGTATTTTGTTTGGGTCAGGAACACCTTATACCTCAAACTGATATCTGTGCTTTTGAATACTTTAAAAAGGTGTTGCACAGCAGATTCATCTAATTCAATACATCATTTGATTTTTGGCTCCTGTTGCCTGAGTATTGCTGGATCCAAGCAAAAGGAAGTCTTTGACAACTTCATTCTTTTCTCCTCCATTTATCACGATGTTGTTTATTGCTCCCGTGGTGAGGATTTTTGTTTCTTTATATTGAGGTGCCACTCAAAAAATGAAGGTGTTGTTCTTTGATATTCATCAGTAAATATTTTAATTCCTCTCCACTTTGAACAAGCAAGGTTATATACTCTGCATATCACAAGTTGTTAACGAGTCTTCCTACAACACTAATGCCATGTTTTTCTTCGTATAATCCAGCTTTTCAAATTATTTGCTCATCATACATATTGAATAAGTATAGTGAAAGAATACAACCCTAACATACATCCTTCCTGATTTATACCATTAAGTGTCTCCTTGTTTTGTTCAAACAACTCCCTTTTTATTTATCTGCAGGTTCCTCAGGTGCACAATTAAGTGTTCCAGATACTCATTCTCCACAATATTGTCCATAGCTTGTCATGACCCACACAGTAGAAAGCCTTTGCGTAGTCAATAAAACACAGGTAAACATCTTTCTGGTATTCTCTGCTTTTAGCCACAATCCATTTGATATCAGCAATGATATCTCACATTTAACATCCTAATCTACATCTGTCTTGAACCTCTAGCCATTCCCTGTCAATGTACTGTTGCAGCCATTTTTCAAGTATCTTCTGCAAAATCATACTTGTATGTGATATTATTGATATTTCCTGATGATTTCTGTATTCCGTTAGGACACCTCTCATTGGAAGGCACAAATACGGATCTTTTCCAATCAGGTGGCCTGGTAGCTATCTTTCAAGTTTCTTGGCATTGATGAGCAAGTCCATTCAGTGATGCATCAGTTTCTTGTTATTGTTGTTATTATGTGCTGTCG